ATTTTCATCATTAAATTTAAGACTTAGCAGTGAGTTATTTCAAGGAGTATGATGAAAGATTTAAGTGACGTTTTTTAGCTTTTAGTTCTTTTCTGGAAACTTTAAAGGAGATCCATTTTAAGTCTGACAAACAATGTAATATGGAAACAAAGTTGTATTAGATATATGCTAAATAGTCCATATATTGTAAAATATTATTTAACTGTCAAGGTATGCGCTGTGGTGTATCGTAATTCTCCTTACATATTTAAGATGAAAACAAGGAATTCAGTTAAAAACCTTTCATTTAATATAGACCGTATGCAAGTGAACAAGGTAATGTCATGTAGAACAAATCATTGATCTAAAATGTCTTCATGCGGTTCTTCAGGTAGTTCACCTCACTTATGAAATCAGTATTCGTTTAGGATAAAAGATATCAGTAATGAAGGTGTACTTATAGCAGACGCTGACTACTGAATCGAAAGTGAGACAGAAATAATGCTTAGGCCAGGCATTGTAAATCAAAATGAAATTATTCAGGAGAAGTTAAAAAGATTTCACTATGACATCATAATCGTAAGTTGTTTGTAAAGAATATGCTCAGCGGGAAATAAATTGATCTTTGTATGCAATGTTTACCCATAGCTATCCAGAAATAGTTATCGATTATTCTAAGCGATTGGTGTATTTTGACTTAAGTTTCCGTACTATAGACAAGCAGTGAGTACATTTTCACCCCTGTGATGGATTTTTAGTCATGTCACCAAGAGTCTCTAAGCATTCATTTTTACTATATCGAGGATCCAAGCCAGGAATTTTACATCTCCGTAGGCAGTTAAGACCAACAGTCGAAGACTTCATGAATTGGCGGCACATCTTGTTGTGGTCACCCTTCGCAAGCATCCAGCCAAGCCTTACTTTGGTTAGCAGGGCGCGTCAAGGTAGGTAGTGGTTCGGCATGTTCATTACATGTCCAAGTCACCTTAATCACTAAAGATTCACTAGAAATCAGTGTTGGTGTTCAAATTCTGAAAAGATTACGTTACAGTATCCTGGTCATAAGTTCAGGGCCAGTGGCAGCCATAAATACATTTTATTGTAGAAATGGGTAATGAGACATGATAATCATTTGTTAGTTACGAATTCTCAATGTTTTACAACACATTTATTTCTAATTATAGCTGTAAGTTATGTATAGTGTTGTTTATATTATGAAGAGGATTCATAGAATAATCATTTAGTTGAACGTTAAGAAACATTTCCTTCGTCACAATTAGATAAAGTTTCCACTAGGAAATATTTACCAGTGAAGTATAGTGACCTCAACATTGATGACCTCATTACTCTCCAGATAAAGAGTTTTATATAATTTCCCATAAAATGTTAGCTATAAGATCGCTTTCGATTCATATAGAGTATCTTCCTCACAAGAGGGGTAAAAATGTTGGTAAGAAGATTCGTTTATTGTAATATATCTGATTTGCAGATTTATGAAATGCTAGTTATCAGAGATACAATTGGATTTCTCTTTGGAACTATGCACACTAAACTGTAAACCGTTGTTAGGTAGTCGTTACAGAAGATTTTTAAACCGACTGATCTTTCCAACGTTCAGTAAACTGCTTCCGTCACTTCTACAGTTAGAATAAGAGTTTCCAACTATTTTTTCATCATAGGAGTAAATTTCTGTGGATGAAAAATTTTGTGAAACAGCACATTCCTTCAGTAAATTTACTATCTGGTAAAATAGAGACAGTTCACATGAAAAGTGTAATTTATTAGAACAGTCTGATTCCGCATTTGCTTATCAAGGTATTTTATATAAAGATTGAAGATAGAATGGGGCTAGACAAACCACTTAAAACGATAAAAAAAATGATATAATGAAAGGGCTATAAAGAAAACACAGCAGGTTCTGGTACCGTTCATTGTAGTAAAACGATAAACGGTTCACAAAGAACATTTCTGGCAAAAAATATCTGTCTAAACAAACAAAGGTGGAATAGTTGAATATTCGAATATCCAAGGCTTCAAAAAACATAAGTTTATCCCTTGACACTTCCTATGTAGTGATTCAGAAACTGTGGCGTGGTCGATCTTACGACCCTTTTCTTTAACATATTTACCCCTACACTATTCTATATGGTTCTTTTGATAGCTAAATTGAAAGTGCTCTTTATTTACCGTTGGATATTTTCTATATTTAGTGGAACGGGATACACAAAACATTGTAGTCTACGAAAACTCCCGAATAATTAGAGAAAACCGTGTTCTTAGAACCTGATCAAAACAAATTATCCACTCTATCAATCTTTATTCGAATCTGCTGATATACTTTTAATTCTTCGTTGTTGTACTGGATCGAATTGACCAACCTCTGTTGGCATATACGCTCTTATGGGTTTGCCTCAATATTGGCTGAATATTTATTATTATTATAATTTGGTTAGACACGGCTAGCAGTAGAATCCGGAGTGCACTCTTCATCCTGTTTGGGATTCGTCAGCTGGATGTACCTTCACCCCAGTGAGTGATGTTGGTCCCACTGATACTCGGATTTCGTAGCCATCACTTCAAACGCTAAATGGTTACTCACTAGGCTGCTGAAGCACAAAAGCCAACGGGCACAATGAATTCAAAATAGGAAGAAACGCACGTCTTGAATTCTTCTGCTAGCCATAACCAAGTAAATTATCATAATAAATATTCAGGCAATATCGAGGCGTTTTCATAGGAGCCCATATGCCAACAGAGGTCGAAAAATTCGATCCAGTAAAACAACGGAGAATTACAAGTATACCAACAAATAGTTATAACTAATACCCATTATACAAAAGGTGGGTGACGTTTTGGCGTTTGGGGCGATAGGTACGATGTCCGAGTCCCACTGGGGTTCAGAAGCATCCAGCTAACGAGTCTCGAATAAAACTACACCGCTAAATAGTTTATTCAGATCTGTTTCTCTATTTTGCAAAGCAATACAAAAGAGCTGTCTCGGAAAAAGTAACCTGTAGATTACTGATGCTCCTATTTTACAAATATGTTTCAAACAAATTGAACTAATATTTGCCATATACTTAAGCACAAATGAATAGGCCTGTGTTTGTTATTCAAGACAAATCAGTCTGACGCACACATGTACATACATGTAAAATCAGATAAGCACTGGATCATGCAGACATCGTGCAGGCATATACAGAGCTGGAATACTACACATTTTAGTGAACATAGTTAAGAAGTTATTCATTCTGCCTACTGTCGAATAAGAAATATCTGTATTTAAGATTGTATTGATACAGAGCTGTTGTTTTTCAAAAGCTAGCCTAACGAAAACGGTTAAACTTGCCATTTCATTGGTGAAAATATGAGGGAAAGAAATACTAAACAGGTCACTCATATCGTTTCAAAGAAAACAATGTTCATGAACCTAGAATTTAAAGGTGACCAAGCATCAGACGTAATCAAGAATCATCTGTGTAAATTGGTTAATAGAACATTCTTCGCGGCAAGACTTCAAATAACTTTTACCAGCCGTAAACTGTTCTACTTTTTCGTACAAAATAAACTCCCTCATCTGATCACCTCCATGTGCATCTAACAGTCCACCTGCGATTGTGGAGTAAGGTACATTGGCCGTAACCAGATAATCCCTTTTACACTTATACGAGAAAATGTTCCAGTTTATTTTTATAAAGGTGAAAGAGTTTGTTAGGACTTCGATTTTAGCACATTTGATTGATGTTCATAACTTAAAAAACACAGGTAATGGCTTTAAAATTTTTTGATAAAATCGCCCAAATCTCCTACATTTCCTCCGTTTTGAACTACTTAAAACAGTAGAGGCTTTAGCTATTCATGAACTGAAGCCTGATCCGTGTGTACAAAAAAAGTATTTTCGGCTACATTTTTTTACCATGACAATGATATTTTTCCATCCTAACTAGTTTCCCTCCTTTGTTAAATTATTCTTTTGTCCTTTCCTTATCACTATTATTCTTAGTATAATTACCTTCACTTTGATTAGTTTTGCGATGTTATTTCGTTCAACTGCCTGAATCTTTTAAGAAAATATTCGTTTATTTTCTGCGACTTGCCTGATCCTGTTAGATAATACGCTTTTGATAACAAATTTCACTAATTTTTCACGCCTTTCTTATATTTTATGTCTATACTGGTCAATATTTGACTACAATCTTCCTTTATACACACAGATCAGGCTTTAATTCATTATATATATATATATATATATATATATATATATATATATATATATTATCTGCGGGAATCGATTGGTCTCAACGTTGTATTCATCACTGACTGGAACCATTTGGAGAACCATTGGGACCATTCGTCATCTTTTTAATCCTAAAGTTTGATGCCTGAGTGGTGCTTACCCACAACCTCACCAGGAATCGAATCCAGAAGCTCCTGGTCTCTTGCTGACCGTGTGATTATATATATATATATATATATATATATATATATATATTAAAACTTGAGGAGGTTGTAGTTGAGAACAGTGTCATTGACTAGGTGTCTTTCTAAGAAATTTGTTTCAGATTCAGATTGTGTAAATAAATTATTGTTGAATATTGTCGCATAGTTGCATCTGTCGTAAAAATTCTAGATCGCCTTTTCCTGTACTACATGAGCTTTTCAAAATATCGCATTTTTTTTTATCAGTCTAACCAGGGATAGAGAAGTTTTCCCTGTTTTGAATTCTATTTATTATCTTTGTTGTTTTGAGAATGAAGTGTTTAAATAGTTGGCCTGACAGACAGTGTTTCTATGTGCGCACTTCATTGTGTATATTTGTGAGTGAACATTGTTGACATTCGTTATCTCAAATTCATTCAAAACAAACCAATTTCTAAAAAGGAGATGGCATTTATTTCTGCTTACATTGATAGAACAGCATTATTGCTGACCTAAAGAAAATAGGAATGTAACCCATTTGTCCTGACTTTCCTCAAAAAGCAAATATTACTTGATAAAAATGTAGCTTAATATTCACATACAAATTAGGGCTTGGATACTATTCACCTGAAAGATGAGGGGAAACAGAAAGGAACTGTTAGTACGAATCTAGTTATCACATAGGTAATCATCAGCTTTAAAGTTATAAAACATATTTGCTGCAAAATTTGCTAGGTAAAATTTCTTTCGCAGTGATTTAATTTATTTAGCCACCAGTCATTCACCATAAGTGATTACTCGTAAGTAGGTGAGGTGACTTTTCGAAATATTTTCTTGCCTAAAATTTGGAAAGCTGTAAAGTTTTTTAATTTATCATATGAATGACAAAACCAAAACTCCAAATGTTTTCAAATATATGTATTGAGTGAGAATGAGAAATTAACTTCTTTCTTAAATGGATAAGCATTATTCTTCACAAATCAATCTTTAAATTAAAATTCACTATGTAAAAGAGACTGAAGACTTCTGCATCCAACACATGAGAAAAAACTACTGTGACTCACCTCCTTGAGGAAAAATTTGCAGTAAATATCCTTAAATGAGTCTTCGCTTAGTGTACCGGTTGGACATTCCTGAGACAAAAGAGAATCGAAAGGAAACAAACAATGAAATGATACTGTCAAACATTTAACATATGTGTTACCAGCTATCAAGGACTTAAATACTGAAGTATAATGTAACATTTGTTTCGAGAGACTAAATCGACTAGTTAAGAAGATTTATTCATTACCGGTGTTTCAACATCTGATAGAATGGTTGCCTGGTTACTTCTTTAGAATTCAAAGATCAGTAAAGAATATTGTTGAAGGTATCGTAGTATGCATAATGAGGAGATTGAAAAGGGTCTTTTATTTAAAGACGATTTTTATGTAACTGTTTCTATAAATCAATCTACTATCATTTTCGCGTACAATTTCTGAAACGGTTATTTTGTAGAAGTATGGATTAACTGCAAGAAATCTGATGTTTCCATCATATCTGTACACATTTACTGGACAGGCTATTAAATATCAAGCAGTAATCAAATTGACTGAATCAAATTACATTTCTTTTGAAACTCTATATGAGCTACACTGATTAGTAAACTATGACTGATTGACTTACACATAAAATATTTGGAGATAATAAAAGTTTGTATTCTACCAAATAAAACGAGTAGTTAAAAATTATTTCTGTTTATTTTTGCATATTTCGCTAAGGAAACTTAGAAAAGCTTCAACAATCAATTCATTTTGAGGTGAAATTAATCAGAAGGATTTGGAAAAAATCAGTCCCATTTAGTCAAACAAGTGGATTTACTCGGCTGAATAGAGTGAACCAGTAAACGATAAAATGACAGAAATTTACACAGACAGCTGTCAGAATGTAAGAGTAAAGGTTTAACACTGTGGTATAATGTGGTTCCATTTAAGTTAACTTATTAGATGTATCTCACAGTAGAACAATATTATTTACTAGATTATGTTTTAGACACAATTTATTGTCCATAGTCATCTTGATATGATAGGATGGTTTACGTGAACCCTATTATTTGCAGATAATTTGGATTCCTAACTCCTCTCGTTTTACTACGTAGTGATTTCTACCATCATGTGAATCACCAGAAAACTAGGTAAGTTATACTGATAATAAAATATGATGGTATGAATAAACATCTCTCTGGCTTTATAATTTCCATTTATTCAATTAGTTCATATGCATCGGCTTTTGTTTTGAAATAGGAATCATTGTACAACTACTAAAGTATTGATTTGAGCTCTGTATCAACTTATTTATTTGTTAGTAGTCAGCAGTTGGATTAAGAAAAGAAATTTCGTTGTTCTTTGAACTGGTTCATTGTATATATCTACATTTCAGTGACTGATAGTGTTCTTGTTAAAACTGGAAACCACTGGTGCTTATTCATGTGTTAGAGCGTCATCTGCTAGACTATAGAGTTATAAAAGCTGTCTGTTTTGAAATAATTATTAGGTCTTACTTACACCTCTTAACTGAGTAGTTGAGTAAATTATGCTCTAGTATTCAAGGTACTGTTTAGTATTTATAAGTATTTATATCTGGAATGCGGTATGCTACCTGGATACTCCACTATGAAACGAATAGCATTATTTTTCGTTAAAGATTATTTTCATCAGTATGAACAAACCAAAATAAAGGCATATATATCCAAAGATCAAAAGATTTAAGTTATTTCTGAATAAAGACAGTAACAAAATAGTCAGATACTGTAATTTTGAGCAATCAGAAAATGTCAGAAAAAATAGTAAAAATAGTAAAGAATATAAACAATCTACTTACTGCCTAGACAAAATTCTTTGAGTTAGGATGTTATAAAAACTTGAAGTGTAATTAGCTGCAAGTGATAAAGATATTTGAGTAGCTGAAGAAAGAAAATCTCGCTAATGAACCTACATTTGTTGTAATAAACTCCTTAGAACGCAAAAAGTAATGCTTTGTTGTTCACAGAGTATTCACAAAATGAGATTACTCTTCTCTCAATTTTTTACCTACCAAATTCAGCGCGCCATTTAACAATGGGACAGCTGAAAAAAGTATTGAAACATTTACACTAAAAGCAGCTTAATTCTGTTTGGGAGGTAATGCGTTTATTGGCTACACTAGAAAAGGTTATCAGCGGTAGCTGATGAAAGTCATGGATAACTTCAGTCCTTCTTTCAGGTTTGCCTACGAGGGTGCAAAAAAGAATAGCAATTTATTTATGGACGTCTTCTTTGTCATATATAAAGAAGCAGAATCAGAAATACATTACAACCGCATCAAGGCATCAAGTTTCTCAGCTTCTCACCCATGCACCCTAGTTCAACTCTTGTTCACAAAGTGTAACTCATGTGTTACGGTGATCAGGTTGATAAAACAGCGGAGAAACTGAGAGCGTCTCTATTGCAAAAAGAGTAGTGAGTTAATTTCCCAAAGAAGTACATATCTTAGTCTAAAAACAAGGTCAAGTCAGACACTTAGTGAAAAGATCCTGCAACTAGGATTAACAGCTGAAGGTGATTTAAATAATCAGATCAGTGAAAAAGCATTCATGGAGATCAAAATGTAAGTTAGTTTCTTGACCAAGCTGGCACCTATGCATTTCATTAAGGACAAATTACAGACTATGGTCACATGAATTGTATGTATACTAGTTTAATCACTCTTGTAAAGTTAGTCGAATAACTTGTTCAAACTCTCAGAACTTCATCCTTAGATACCTGAGAGCATATAAAATGAGAAATGAGATGTTATACTGATTATTATTATATTATTTGTCCCTTGGGTTCCTAGTGGGACATAGGGATTCAGTAGCATGCCTCCATCCCACTCTGTTCTCTGCAATCTTTTCAACCTGGCTCCACGACTGCCCACAAGCTCTTATTTCTTCCTCGCACGATCTCCTCCTTATCACCCTTTGACGTCCAACTCGTCGTTTTCCATCTGGGTTCAACTCGAGGGCCTGATGCTTGATGTTCCCGAATGTTCTTCTCAGGGCATCTATCTGCATCCATCTCCACTTCCTGCTTCTGGATATTTGTTCAGCGATAGCTTCTTGGTTAGTTGGTCCGTTCCAACAGCTCCTTGTTGCTTATTCTTACTATTCTGGACATCTGATCTGATCTGATCTTCAGTAGCCAGCCAGCGTAGGCAGTTATTGATGAATGTCTGTAGTTTGTTGGAAATGCCTTTCGTAACGCCACAAGTCTCTGAACCATACGGAAGCACTGACTTGACGTTGGTGTTGAAAATCCGGATGCTGTTCCACATGTTGAGTGCAGAAAATCTCCACACTGGTTTCAGGTTAATGAACGCCATGTTATATTGAGCGTACAAAATATTACATGGAATGCAGTGGTCGTCTATCCTTTAAGTTAATTAACAAGTTAATATACCTTTCAGCATATTAATTCTTATGGGGTATATAATTGGTCTAGTATATAAAGTAGACTTGGACTGCTGTAAAACGTGCTTGTGTACTTTAATTACTATCTTTGATGAAGTAAGTATAGTGCAGTAATAAATAGTTTGAAATTTATCCCTTTATTTTACGAAAACCCCATGCAATAAAGACCATGCTAAACAAACAAGTGAATGAAAAATCCTATGAAAAAGTAGCACTACAAATAATAAATAAACTTAAGAGAAGATATATATTTTATCTTTGTTGTATAACATTTTCTTCTTTACTTAACTAATGTCAAGTAATCTACTGAAGAGAAGTCTTGTGGAGTAGCAAAGTATGTTTATTGTAAAATATAACTGATTTTATGTTGGAACTTTTATTACCCTGTCGTTGATTGGACCGAATTAATCAGCCTGTATTGGTATAACCACTATCTGTCATTAGTAAAACCGATTTGGATAAAAAATATTAAACCTTATCACAAAGTCACATTAGCAAAGGTTCACCATTACTTCATCTCACTTTGCAATGTTTCCTTCAGTCAATCATTATCACTACTTTCGTTTTCTGATGTAGTGCTATACTGTACTATACACCCTCAAAGATAATATTCAGCAAACTATTTCTAACTCCTGTTCTTATTTATTATTGTCAAGATATTCATTTATTATTCATGAATTGGTTAGAGAAAATATCATTAAGTGAATCAAAGATACTGATGAAGGCTAAAGTTGAAGGAGATTATTAAGCAAGTGTAATACATTTGTGAACAATTTATATTCAGGAATATTCTTTTTGCATTTATAAAATATTTACTTTTATTTACAGAATATATGTAACAGATAAATAAATAAGTCTTTTTATTCTTAGATTATGAATTTAACATAAGCGAAACAAGTGTGTAAAATCAGTTTAAAAGAATTTGATCAGTGCTGAGCACTGATGACTAGGCAACCAAATGGATTATTCAATAATGACGAATTCGTTGAGATAATAAATGCATTATTAGAATATGGAATTCTATGTAAGTAACCTTAAAAGCGTTTCAAGCTCATAATAATCACAGATTGATAACTTTTGATCTTTCTGTTGAACATTAACTAAACAGTCAAAAGTAGGCAAATACACCTCTCACATCACCTCCAAGTGTTTGTATCAATTCACATATGCTTGTGGAATCAAGTACATAGGATGGACCGAAAGAAGGGTATCTACTCAATTTTGTGAGCATATTCGGAGAAATATGTGTGTTTGGAAGGTAGCAAGTTTTTTAATGGCACTGTTTCAAGTACCTGAGGGAAACAGGAAATTAAATAGATTTTTCTCAGTCCTTCAGGGTAATCAACAAAAGAAGAATGCCATGTTTATTGCGGTCTGCTGAAGCTCTGGGTGTCGAACATTTTCAAGCTGACTTATGCACTCAGAAAGAGACTAAAATTAACTTTTCTTTACCCTGGTTACTGTATACAATTTTTTGTATATAAATGCGTATAGTCTCCCTTTTTTAACTGCATCATCCCCTAACTTACTGACTTAATCATTCAACGTTACGTTGTTTCCAGTTTTTCATGTAGTTACATAACCTACTAGCTTTTTAACCACCTCTTCTTTTACACTGATGTTTGTTTATTGTCCTCCATCTCTCCACAGCTCCAGAATTTCCTATCTCAGCAGATATAAACTGCCATTGATTTCAACTGCGGTTTGTGATTATTAACGTTGTGTTTCGTTCACTCACTACCTTATTGTTGATCCTGGATTTCAAATCTCCATTTATTTCGATATACTTAAAGTATGTTATATCATCAGAACTATTAATACTCCATTTTAATTGTGATGATGAAAGGTGATGAAAGGCCGCGAAACAAAAAGAGTTCAATTTATTCTTCAAATATCTTTGTACTTGCATTGTTTACTTTTGTCAAGCGAACTAAATGTTTAACATTTCTCAAAGAAAATAACCTAGATTTCAGTGGAATAAGATCTGTTTAACACATTTCTTCTTGTCTTCTCGTCTGAGTGTAACCTACACCATTTTGATATCAAATTTAAATTGTAATTTAGCACAATATTCATGAAGAAAATTAAACGTTGGTTAACATATTTATACACTAGGATAATGTCGTTGAAACTTTGAGGGATCCAGCAGAGGTTAAGACAGAATGAGATGAATTTACTGAAGGTTTGGGATAATTAGTGACGTACCAGTTAAATAATCCGGAAACGATGTCATCGTTTTTAGAACATGAAAACATTTTTACAGAATGGTAGAATATGTAGACCTTGATTATATGTGCATAGAAGCCAAGAGGAAACCACTAATACAACCACACAGTGTTTAGTGGACTTCATACTGCACTCGAAATATTATACTAATTAAGAAGTGATATTTTATGACTTAGCTGATCGATATGGTTCACTGGCTTTGGGTCCTGAGTTTTAAGCAATCAGTGGCAAGTCCAAAGTCCATCTAGCGCGATGCAAACTCAGGAACTGGGTAACATTGTAAGCCTTCAAAAAGCAGGTGCGTTTCATAGCCTATTACTTACATCATGGTAGATAAAAGGATCATAAATATTTGTTGACTTTAGGTGTCATTCATAATCACTTTGTCAAGAACAAGAAAATCAGCGAGGCTGCAGGATGGTCTCTCACTAGTTAAGTGTTCGATTTTCTGTTGATTATCCTTAAACTAGATAAGCTGGGTGAATACAACTTCCTTGCTTAGAGTGATTTTGTTTATTTTATTGTTTACACTACTCCCTTATTTACGGAATCCTTATGCTTATTCAAAGTTTAAGAGAAGTTTTGTGGAGTCAGAAAGTTGTATTTTCAACATAATGATTGCACGAGTACCTTTTTATCGTTCTGTAATGTGATATTTTCATGAACATCGTTCTGTGGCCTAGTGTATAAAATTGATCAGCTTTCCATTCCACATTTCAATATTAGATAAATGAAACTGTGACATACACAACCTATTCTGCTTTATAAATCTTAAATGGCTGAGAAGTTTTAGAGATAAAGTGGATTTATTAACTGATCCTTCTGAGTCTCATGCTTACTAGTTTCCATCATTACTGTAGGTCGACAACCTTAGAGAAATCTATCCCAATATATTACAGATTTAATCGACCGATTTCAGTTGGAATTGAAAACTTAGAAACCAATATTGGTGGTCCTTCGACACCCAGTCCACTTCATCTTGATGGTAGCAGTTAACTAAGTGTAGTCATTTAGGGTCTTCAGCCACAAAGATGAGTAATTAAAGTTCAAATCTTCGATGATACATGGATTGTGTAATAGTTATTTCATTGCAAATATTGAAAACAAATAATATTCATAAAGCTAGTTACTAATTTCTCTGCCTAAAATTTCTAAACATTTCCGAGCACATCATATCATCTTCCTCAAAAGAATTAAATCTGTAAAACTACTTACATAATTGTTTAATTAAACCACTAGCTGATTAATCAACTAAAGGGTTAGGTCAATTATCTTCTAAACGTTTTCTTAATGCTTCAGTTTTACTTCTTCAAAATGAAGTTATATCATTTCAGATAATAGTTGAATACATTAAGGAAGAAAGTCCAGGAAATGAACCAATAATCGAGTTGAATAACCTATTTTTGTTGATAGGATCTTCTATGTTTTATTAATCTTCACATGTTTCTTTCATTATATATACATACATATTACTGTGAAATAGTGTGTATCCCTGACTTAGTACGTTATCAGAGAAAAATAAGCAACTTTAGCAGCAAAGGGGTTAACTAGGCTGATTGTTATATATGCAAATTCTTCTTTATAAGCAAAGAAAAGGTCACCCATACTTTCTTATCAATCATCGATAAATTATGCATTGCAAACAATGTGAACTCAATTCATGCATCATTTTCTTCTAACAAAGTATTGATTATTTTCCCACTAGGCATATTGATACACCTAGATTCTTCTATGTGTCCTTTTTGTAAAACAGCAAAAATAAGATCAATAGTTATGGTAGAATAGTATTTTACTATAAAAGCTATCGAAATTGTTGACTGTTGATCAGCGTTTCTTTAATTTACGGCTCCATAGCTATCATGTGACGTGACTGCTTTGAAGGTTATCTGTAAAGTGAAAGATATATATATATATATATATATATATATATACTGTGATAGAACAACTTGCAATTTCTTGTACTTCGTTGCTTTTTACATGGAAGTTTAACTACCTAATGAGTTCTAGAGTTGATGAAACTCGGGTTTCATATCGTAGTTGTTATCGGTATCAACAAATATTTGTGAATGAAGTTACTACAAACAAAGAGATACGCTATGAGGAAGAATCCATATGCTACTAACCATTCATCACCCCAGACTAAGTAAATCAACGGTGGAAGGTTACAAGTTATAGCACTGGAGTAACTCTGCCGTATTGATAATAAAAATTTAAACATTGCCAGTATCACTGAATAAATGTTGGAAAGCTATGAAAATTTCACCGGGATATTAATATTTTTAGTGTAATTGCACACATGGACCTACAGTGTCATAAGTAGATTCATTGAAATTATTTTACCTAGAATAAGACGAACTAAGAAGATAACCGTAACACTCTTAATGAAGACAAGATTATGAGTGGTGTTTCCTGCACTGATCAGTACAAATATTAGAAACGCTAACTGATTAGCTATCTTACATCTAGTGTTATCAAAACTCGAAGAAATGAACTTACTTGTTTAAAACCTTGGTACATTATTTGTAATTCTTTTCTTGAAAAGCGTGTTTTTCGAAGTAGAGTATTTATACCAACAGGTTTATGCCGGACAATATGATTCTCTGGTTCTTCGAAATCAGCTTCTGCAAAGGAAAAACAAACAAGTGATATGCTTGCTTTAAACGAAGACAGCTAATTCTACAGAAGTTTCTCTACAAACAGAAACTATTTGAAGAGTCATTGAAATGTTAGGACTTATTAGGACGCTTTTGTCACACTTTTACTATCTTAGCAATTGTCCTTCTTATCGTTTTATCATCAAATGCTTATCTTCTTGTGTACATGGTTTGGAAGTGATATAAGAGTCTACTATTATAAACCGGTCTTTAACTAACTGAAAAAGTCATTTGATAAGAAATGTCATAGTAGTCAGAACTCATTTGTTTGCATTTAAGGACTGGGAACGAAAGGAAGTGACAAGATAGCGTCATTAAGAATAAATCCTTGAAGTATAATTATACACATACTATGTTAAGCTAGATAGCCACTCCACTAGTGAAGCGGACCAACAAATGTTTAGAAATGTTAGTGATTGAAAAAAAGCTGACGTTTATTTGAGAATTGGTAACATCTAAAATCCAGAAGAAAATTTCGGATTAACTATCATAGAATAAGAATAATACGAAAAGGATAGTTAAAGAAAGGCTAAACTAACGAGAATTCCTGAGAAGTTTAATCTATCTACTGTTATTTCACCACTCCTATTAGAAATTACCTTATGAAAGTTGACTGTACAGGAGTGTTATATGAATGGCTGTATACTGATTTCTGTAAAAAGCATATGTCGGTAAATTACCAAATCACAGGATTTAAAATTCTTAAGTATAACTGTGGCTAATTGGTCTAGGTACCCAACTTTCAACGAGTGGGTTATGGGTTTGCATGCCGCTCCTCTTACCACGATATGGGTAGTCAGGTATTATTCTTAGCCGTTACACAATAGGTGTGGCTCACCAGCTAATGAATGAAAGAGTGGTTGCTGAATATATTTCTATTTGATTCGATATAACTCGTAACAGTAGTGAAAATTATTAAAAATAAAGTCAAAGGGAGGTATAATAATCTCAAAAATAACTGAATATTGTTTATTTTTCACTAATTGCATGCTAAAATAATTTACAAGGTGACAATGTGACTGTCTGACAGACCAATCAAGGTGTATTTGTGCACATTTGTGTTATAATAAAGTGGACCAAAAAAAATAATCAGTTCACTGGAGTTGTTTTCGTATTGCCATGAGACCTAATTAACAGCTATTTCTAGATGTTATAAAAAACACCATTTGGTCAGCATTCATTTCATTTCAGCTTTATACCATTGGTTAGTAGATATAAGCAGTGCGTTTGTAATTCATCCCAGTGTGAGTGTCACAGACAAGTTCACAATCACAGGCAGGAATCGATTACTCATTTCTAGACAGCATAGGATACACTGAAGAACTGACAATAAAGAAGTTAGTCTTACTCATCAAAGACACAACTGCATCAGTTTGATTGTACAAAGCTGAAAACTGGAGGTGTATGCGGCAAACATTATCAGAAGGATGACTGATTGTGCATAAATTAAAGCACCTTTATTTCGAAATTCATAGTCAGAGATAAGAATGAGACAATGAGGAGCAAGGCAATTGCAAAAATCACCGTGTTGCTTTCAATGAAATATGCAAACTGAAAGGTAATATCTTTACTTTATTGGTGGGATCGTGACTGCTAATACGCGAGATGTTTCACACATACTAGTAAGTGATTCATGTAGTCTTAGTATATCACATGATTCACACTATGATGTGAATACCATTGTGTTCATAGGTAAGTTTTTTCCGTACAAATATGTTAATCTTAATCTTAGTTTATGAAACATGGTTCAAAATCTGCCAGTGAGTGAATGATGATATCCACTGAAAAAACGGGTATTGTCTCTTGAAATCTATAAATGAATCTAAGAAGGTATTAACTTTTATAGGCAAGCAATCTTCAAAACTTCAACTATCTAACGTTTAATCTATAAACCCTGGAAATTTCTAAGATAAGTGAGGCGAAAAAAGTTTTGTTGTTGAAAGTATGACAAAAACCTAAGGATTTTGAAGCTACTTAGAAGCATTTTTAAAAAAAACGTCTATTCATCTAAAATGATGTAGAAAACAGAATTCTTGAATGGAATTATCAAAAACTTATCTTTCATAAATCCGAAATGTCACGATTACATTTTACCTGACAAACTGTTGTCAAACTTGTTTTATTCCGCAGTCAGATAGACAATAACTTTTAACCTCACTTAATAAAATCTATTTTGAAATCGTGAGAAATATTTTCTGCTTAGGATTTGTCTGTTCAAGCGATTTCCCTACTTTCTCGGCTTTAGGTTTCAGGTTCATATCTTCAGACTTCAGCTTAGGCATTCATTGTAATACAATTTCATTGAAGATTAACTCACAAACTGATGCCGAAAGCTTGATGCTTGGGTGTTGACAAAATGGCTAGGACCGAATACTTGTCGAAAATATGTCTTTACTTCGGAATCATTGATAAATAACTGGGAGGAGAAATGTTTATTATATTCAATGAATAACTTAGTCAAACGCTGTTTACGAAAGCTATCATACCTGTATAACTGACATGTTATTCGTGCATATTAACTTATAGGAAGTAATAATGACAATTATTATTATTGTTATCATTAATATTGCAAGTGTAAGTTATTAACATACTTGTCGAGCTGTCCCTGTTGTGTGCTGTAGTTTGTCTCACTTATTTTAGAATAGTTCAAGTCTCAATGTCCAAGAAGTCGTTGGATATAATATGAAAGACAATTTCCCTATTGATTGAAAGTGTTTGCCAAGTCAACATGCGATCCCAAATAAAAAGAGGAAATTTAATGGCAAACATGGTTGAACATCAAATATTTTACCCATTTTCAAGTTGTTTTATAAACCTTTACATTTCTGTATACATGTGTATAAAGGCTTTTGAGATTAGACTCTGCAGTCTAATCAATGAATCCCAGATAACCATGGTTGTCTAAGTGAAAACCAGTTTGTTGCCTTTAAAGAGAATGTGTAAATCTCAGAAAAAGTGACAATAATTCAAAATGGGTAATTTTAGTAATCATAAAAAGCGTAGAAATGATTTAAAGCCCCATCCGTAATTTCTAATTTCGCCTTTTGAATCAGTAAAAGTAACGGATTACATATAACATTGGAATGGTGGAGAATATTTGTAACTCAGGTAGATAATCTTGGTTGTGTTGCGTTCTCTGGGCTAAAGAAAACTCAGTTCATAAAGCGCAACAAAAATAAGACATCTGACTTTTGAAACTCATAATCTGGAATGTAAGATTAGCAGTCACAAAACAAGTTTATTGTCGTATGCAGCTTGAATCTTAGTTGGTGTTGCCTACGTCCAACCAAATAATTTTGCTTTCTTTCTTTTGTCATGCTAACTGTTGCTTACAATAAATTTATCTGTTTAATTGGATTTAACCCTCATCTTTAACATTTTATAAGACTGCTGCAGAAAAATATGTCTCAAGTCTGTACCTTCTGTCTGTCTGTCTATACAAATTATTCGTACTCGATACACTTCAAGAAAACAAGAGTGAAACATTAGCATAGCTTTTTTATTTGCTTGGTGATGGGGAAGCCCTGAAATCCAGGATGCGCGTTTCATTCTACTTGGGACTGGCCAGCAGGATATACCTGCAACCCAGTGAATGATGTTGCTATTAAGACTTAAACCCTACATCTGTTGCTTCAAATGCCATAGGGTGATCGACAAGGCCACTGGGGCACGAGAGGCATCCGCATAAGAGGTCATGTGCCAGCAGCGGTTGATCGATTCAATCCACAATAACAACGAGAAATTACAAGCACTGATAAATAATATTAGCATAATATACTAAGTTGACAGTTCACAGAACTAACTATTCTAAACAGTTTTAATGATATTGTAATAACAAAATTGGGAGAATATGTGCACGATAAACTAAATCTATATTTTGTCTACTCATATTTACTTTGTAGTGAAGTATTAAGCAAAGCACTGCATGTAGCTTGATTTTCAAAATGGGTTACATTTACTCCATTTTTCAAAAAGAAACCAAGTTTAGAGGCATACACTCCTGATATATTACTTTTGATAGAGATTTATTCTATTTTGATGTGTACTTGATTCAGCTCTATTGTACATCGATATACTTATCAAAATCCTCAGATCACCATTCGCCTTGCAAAATATAACTCCCGTAACACTTAAAAGATTAGGAGTTTGGAAGGTATTAGTATATTTTTAGATCTTATTCAGTGAGTACTGCTGAGCAGCCTATAACAAAACAAGATAGCAGTTTAGTACTCCCAGGTTTTCGACCGATATCAGTTTACGATGAACACTGTGAAAACGACACTAATTTCCCACTCAAATGTATAAAAACATTATGTACATGCATAAATTTGAAAAAGGTGTCAGTTGAACATAGAGTTGATCGTTTTAAAGATAAACTTCGTTTCAAAGTTTATTTTATTTTGCAAAGATTTTATCCATTAGTACAAAGAAGTGAGAGACAGAAAATGTCATGAAGTTATGAAGTCTTAATGGTAGGAAAAACTGTCATTTGCTGTTTTATAATTGTTTTGTATCAGACTGAAATAGTCCTTGGCTTTTTTCTTCTCCTTGTCAATTCAGCATTATTTATTCTCAGTCAAAGACATTTTTTAAGTAAATGCACTCAAGCAAAAACTGACGAGTTTTACCCTTTGTCCTTCCCATAAATATGTCAACATAGTTTCCTATGAAAAAGATTATCTGTTAATAAAGATTTTAGGCTTCATTACTGACGTTAAACGATGCAAAAGGTGATATGTTCAGAAAATCATACTGGTGAAAAGCTAATCACCTACATAACACTAATCACCTCCAACGAACTGTTGGGTATTTTTCATTAATTTATTTTGAAGTTTATTGTGATTTTGCATTTATATTTTCAGGTAGTATTCATCATAGAGTGGCATCAGATGGATAACCGTTAAAAATCTTGGAGCAGTGGACAGCTGTTTCCGCCCAGTATCTAGTTCCTCAGCAGTATGAGCACA